ATTTACAAGCAAATGTACTGAACCCGCTACTTTGCCTCAGCAATTTCAATTTAAATACAGAAGCAACCTACAAATTTTACAAATGGATAGTAAAGCTGTATTCTGTGCTATCACGAATGTTTACAGCAGGTGACACAAGAATGATACATGCATGAGAATATAGGATATGGAGTAGAATAAAGTAAAATAACCTCTATCAAAATAAACACAGCTCGGGCCAAATGCTCCAAAAGGATGCCTAACTTTGCCAATGCCCAAAGAGAAAAGGCGCCTTAAAAGTGGAGCCAGACTTCTTCACGTGTCTCTCCTATTCACACCCAGTTGGTATATTCTCCAATGATGCTCCAGTCACCTGTGAGCAAGTGTGTCGCACCTCTCCGTGCCCTCCTTCTGAACTGCTAAATTGGCAGGTGAGGTGCACTCAAGCAGTTGAGAGGAGCAGAAAGTCAATGCACTGACTTGGTTTGTGTTACCAAAATGGGCCACGCGACTTGCATAAAGCAGCAGCCTGTACCAAGACCCATTAGTTTAAGGATGCCCCTAGATCTGTCTTAGAATGCCATTCAACCCAAGGGAGCCTGGCTTTTCCCCTCCCACAAGCCACACTGCCTGGGTTCGGATGACACGGCAAGCCACACCACAACAGGAAATGGCTTCTTGTTCATGCCGCCAATTTAAACAAGCCATGGTGGCATATCTGACTGGCTGCCCTTCAAGAACTTCTCACCAGAGAAAGATTCCCAAATGGCCAATCCTCCTAGGAACCGTCTCTGTCCGAACAGAGGGAATACTGGGGTGCCCAGTGGACTAAATGTCTCCTTCGCAGCATGTTGGAAACAGCCCAATTTTAACTGGGCCACCTTCCAGATTTTAAGCATCCTGCCATTCAGTATGCTTCTGGCTTACCAATTAATAATAATAATAATAATAATAATAATAATAATAATAATAGCAGCAGCAGCAGCAGCAGCAGCAGCAGCTCCTCTAGCATTTCAGTGTTAGCTCTCCAAGGGCAGCTGCATTTGGGCTGATGGGTAACATGGCCCAACACAACAGAGGACAGGTCTCCTTTTTAAATCACTGGCTAGGAGTTTCAGCAGGTATGGCTTGTCACCTTAGTTATTTCATGCTGAAATTCCTTGGTCCACACAATTATTAAAGAGAGCAGAAGCATGGTCTTCTTTTGCACCTGATTACCTTACTAATAAGTTGTACAAACTTGCTCCAAAGCTTTATGCCAAGAGACAAGCATGATTCGATGAACACATTATTCAGAAGAAAAGAAGATTCTCTACCAAGTATGCACAGTATTACAGTCTTATGTCTTTACGGATCAAAATTACAGTTATCAAATGAATGCCTCCTAGAGGAATAGTCTTTGTTCCAAGCTCCCTACTTTACATGAGATTTTTTTTTAAAAGCAAACACAACCACATCATTTAAATAGTATATATACACAAAAGAGCTTGATGTATGTTTCTTCTTGAGAGAAGGAAACACACGCACTATTTTAAGACTCCAAATAACATCTTTCAACAAAGTTTAGCAGCTCCACTTTTTGCAAATGCATTTAATTTTATCTGGAAACTTTTTGACATTAGAAATCACAGAACTGTAGTTTCTCATTAGGTTTGCTGCCAGATTCTGTGCTGAGCTGCTCAGCTAAAAAACGTATATTGCTAATTATTACCACATGCCTCTTATTCCAAGCAGTGGAAAACTTATTGGTTCTGACAAGCCATTCTCTCAATGCCGAATTCCAAAGGAAAACTCAAATTTTTGGCCAAACATAACATTTCATCAATCTTGTTCTACTGACTGCAAAACCAATATCAAACATAGGATTGCTAATGGCTTTTTACTGTGCAGTTCCCAAGCTTATGTGCTCTGATGAAAGATGTACGTGAGTCCTTCTCCAAAGTACTTAGAAATTAGCTTTTTGAACTAGGAAACAATGCATAAAGTTAAATCGAACCGTCTGTGTGCTGATGACAGAGTTCAGCTTCAGTCAACAAAATGTACAGGCAAATAGAGACAGATGGACAGAGACAAACAAAGAGTGCATTTTAAAAAGAAAGCAAAAGCCCCCAGGGATAAAATAAAATTAAGCAAGCCCCAAAGCTAGCAGGGAAGCCTGTGAGTGAGCTGCTGAAGACACCAGGATGTGGAAAAGAGGAAGATCAGGTCTAGGTTTAGACACAGCAGAACACTGATGGGTACCAGTGCCTAAAGCTTTTATCTCGTATCTGTTGAATTCTGTAATGCTGAAGCGCTGCATTCTTTGCTTAGTCCGCTTGGGTTGCAATCCTATGCGCATTTCCTTGGTAGGAAGCCCACGAGCCCCCTTGGGCTTCCTTCTGAGTGAAATGCACGGCATTGCACTCCATGCCAGGGCCTCACTGGAAGGAGATTTGCCTTCCCAAGCAGAACGTGAGTGCTCTTCCGTTAACTGAACACTCAGTGCTGCCACAGAACACGGGACGAGACTGGGAGGCGCAGTCCAGCCAAGGCCCGCTGTGGTTAAGTCGTGCTGGATTCCTTTGGCGTTAGACTTAAATATTCTAAGGCTCCTCTCCGAGTGTTCAGTGGAATGGCGGCTAGCATGTAGCAACCCATGTGGATAAGACAAGCGTCTTTCCCCTCCACAGGCTGGGGGCCTCTCATTTGGTTTCATTTTAATATGAGACAGCATTTAAAAGTGCCCTTTCTGACCGGCAGCCTGACGAATGTGATTCTCCCACTTTCAGCTACCCGGTTCTGCACAAAGTGTGGAGGGGCTGTCAAACGATTGTGAGCTCCAGATGTTCTCCAGAGCAGGAATTTGCTTCATGAGCTCAAGAGTTGGAGAACCTCCTGAATCCACAGCAGATCTTCCAATCCAGGTTTCAAAAGCCTGATTAACAGGATTAATCATTGTGACAGTGTCCTTCATAGCATTAGGACTGGATTGCTTTTTGATCTATCATTTTGGGTTTCAGTGGGAGGAGGAATGAATGGCTGTAGAGCTATTTACATAGCATACCGGGGATCTGAAAAGGTGCATTTAAAATACTGGAACCCCTGTGGAATCGGCTAGGATAAGATTACGCTGCACACAGAGAGCCAGGGTGGTGTGGTGGTTAAGAGCATGGCTCTGGGCCTCAGGCATCCGAGTTCTAGTCCCCGCTCAGCCATGGAGCCTCCTGGGTGACTTTGGGCCAGTTGGAGACTCTCAGCCCAGCCTACCTCACAGGGTTGTTGTTGTGGGGATAAGATGGAGGGCAGGAGGAGAATTACATAAGCCATCTTGAGTGCCTTGAAAAGGAAAACAAGGCAGAACATAAATAAGACTATAAGTCTTTTAGAACGTCAGTTGTGGAGGAAAAATTGGATCCAGCACCATCCTAATCGTACCAAATAGTGGCAAGGAGATGATGGTTTCCAAAAGAAACCACAAAGTTGAGAAAGTGGTTCCTGGTCACCAAAACTGAATTTAAAATAGCTAGAATATTTACTTTTTAGTGCCTATGAAATGGCAAAGGTACTTGAACATATTAGTCTTGAACTGCACATGGAATTCTGGGTTTTTGGTTGAGATGCTTCCATCTTTTTTGGTGGAACGCTGTATGCAGCACATACGGAACTGAGCACAAAAGGAAACGAGGCGGCTGAGCATATGCATGGAGGGGCATGACTGGGAAGGGACAATCCTGTTCAAATTTTCCAAGGCCATTCCTTAAGTGGTGTACTGTGCAACACTGTGCCAGGGGATCTGCCCCTTTTATTAGTGTGGTCGATTAAGGAAAGCGAGTGTAATTAATTTCTGAATCCAAGTGTCGGCGGCAGCATTTTAGATTTTAGATTAACCCCCCTGAAAGAGGGCTGTTGTGCTAAGCCTTTATGTGCATTTTTCACTATTTATACTCAATTTTCTTTGAGTGGGAAGCAGGGTGTGGTTTAGTTTAAAAATTCCGTGTCTGACTCTTGACACGTATTCAGAAACTCCAGATGATGTCCATCCACTTTGTACAAAACTGTAGTGGAATTAAACATTTGCGATTTGTGATTGTCAGGACAAAATCAAATCCACGAGACAATCCCTATTAAAAGTACTATTGACTTTTAACACAGATTATCAGTCCATTTCACTTGACTGTGTCACACCTATTTAGATATGTGTCAATCTCACCAATGAGATGCTCTGTTAAAAAGGAGGTTGAGCTGTGGAAAGGCCTGCATTGACACACGTCCCTCGTCATGCTGGCATCACACTCACAGGGCCTGCTGCTGTTTGTGAGAACTGGTGCCTGCGTTTAGAAGTTGCACAAGCGGATCCGGGACCACTGAAAGCATGACACCAACAGCCAATGTGCAACTTTTCCGCAGAAGTGGCAGTTCTCACAAACAGCCTCTCCTGACTATGGTCCAGATTCCAGGTCAGGTTTGGGACTCAGGATCTCTATTGATGAAAAGTCCCCCTTCCTGGACGGGAGGAACTTGGGCACGGCAGAGAATGGCAGCCACAAGCTGAATGCATGTTAATAATAGCAGAGTTGTCTTCCAGACTGTGCGGCTCAGAACTGTCCTCGTGGACAGTTTCCTTGGAGAACGGGAAAAACCATTGCGACAGACACCTGGTGTGGCCCAGGTCTCCAGTAGGACAGCTTGGAGTGGGCACAGCAGGTGTCGCCACCAGGACTCATCCATGGCCATGTCCACACACACACAGAGCACATCCAGGTGTGTCCGCGGGTCAGATGTCATAACCAGGGTGGGTTCTCAAGGTCACACAATCACCACACCTGGTGTTTTTGGTTCTCGTTTTGTGAAGACTTACTTTCTGCCTCGGGTTGAGTTAAAAGTTCCGCCGTATTTCTTCCGATTAAGGATGAGAGCAGCAATTTCTGGCACGTAGCGCGCAAACATTGCCTACATGCATGGAAGAAAAACAAAAAGAAAATGGCATGCAGAGAGTGTTCTACTGCGCTGGAGGCAGCAGCAGAATCCCTTGGAATACTTACTTTCTTCCACTAACCGCACTATAGGAACCACCATATTTCTTGCGGTTTCCTATTAACTCTATGATTTCAGGGACGTAGCTGGCAAACATGGCCTAAGGAAGAAGATAGGAGACAGAAGAAAAGACTAAAAAGAGAGGCCAAAGAAAGGGGGGTGATGAATTTTTTAAGAAGATATATAATCTTTAAGATCTGAAAATGCAAAAGACTTAGATCTATAAAGGGGTGGGTTTTTCTCAAAAAGGTTAAAAAAGTGTTTATAAAACCAAAACAAGAAAATTTGACATAAAAGTTGGTCTTGAAAGAGATGCACGCCTGATGAGCTAAAGAAAATGGTCAAAAGAGGGAGAAGGGCACACAAAGCAAACCAAACAAAACTAAAAAACAAGGACAAAATGATGTCGAAGTGGCATCCCATTGGGCAGGGGCTGCCACGGCTAAAACCTTTTGAATGGGGGCAAGCGGAAATATCCAAAGAATATAGACCGCTAAAACACCCCAACAAGGACAAAACAAATGAAAAACATGGGTTGTTATTATTATGATTAGTGTCACTAATTGGTAAAAGATACGTGAGGGGGGTCCCCCCCCCCATTACCAAAGAAAACAAGATGGCAGTAGAGGGTTTCCTTCACACACATGAGAATGAACGTGCTGCGACAAAAATAAATTCCATTTTTAAAAGTTTGCCTTTTAAAAAAGATGATAAGGGCATGTAAGAATGTTAAAGGAAAAAAGTCGATGAGGAGGGGGGAAAATGTAATCTGCCATGTTTTGTCCAACAAACATTTTGCTTGTGGCTGGATACTTCTCAGAGCTGCTGCCGGAGACCATGGCTTCGGTTCTGGCACACAAATAGGCACCTCTTTTGGAAGCAAATGCACGCACGCACGCTGCATTTGGGATGACCGAGTAGATGCAACATCCCTAAAAAGAGATGTTTACGAGAGACATACAGATACGTGGAAATAGTTAAGCTGCTTTTGGGACACTGTGTATGTATATTACCGATTGTGGGTAGAATTTACTAAATTACTTACCTTGAAGAATGTAAATCTTAGGGCTAGGATTGCTGATTTTTAAGACAAAGCAATTGCGGTGGTTGCCATGGTGTCTTTGGTATTGACAGAAGTATAAAAAGGCAATTTGAAGAGAGGCCATATCTGCGTAACTTATGGTCCGTGTACTTACTCAGCGCTTCAAACACAGTGGAGACCTAGTGGGCTGACCTGCTTAGGAGCGTCTTGCAACTTCATGCATTGGTCCCATGTTAGCGTGCATGGTTGCCATGGGTTGAAGTAAAAGAACGTGCTTTTGCCATTGTCTGGAACGGGCAAGCGGCTCTTGAAAGGTGCTCCCAAGCCACAGTGTTTGTTGGAATATTGGGAAGGAACACAGGAGGTCAGGGAAGCTCTTGAAACCGCATCTAGCTTTAAATCGTCACTATCACAATCGATTGGTCAATCAATACACGGCTGGTACTTGCTAGCTAAGAGTTAATACTACAAATTCCTAAGGCACTTTCTGCATTTGCATGCGTTGTTTTCTTAACTTTGTCTCTGTCCCTTCCTTTAAGTTCAACCAATGGCTCTCCAAATTCAATCTTTACATGCATATCTTGAAATATTTTAAGTTACTCATTAATTTGCTACGACTAATCATAACATACTCAAGGAAAGGGGGAAAAAACATCCAGCAGAAAATAACAAGAATTTTACCAATCCCCCGAGGATGAAGAAGACCATGAAAAGGCGACCAAGGGTTGTTTTTGCATAAACATCTCCATAGCCAACAGTGGACATAGTAACCATTAGTAAATAAACACATTCCCAATAGGTGAGCGCTTGGTTATTTTGGAAGTTTTCCCATGGATCCCCTGAGTTCTCCACCTACAATGAAAGAGTAACAGTGAATAACTCCTTGGTTTCTACAAAGCAGAAGGAAAAAGTTTATTTTCATACATTTATGGAAGGGACTGCCCTCATCACGGAAAACGCAAGTTCAAACCTTGTTCAAAAATTAATCCTTGGTGTGCGTGGGCAGGTTATAATCTCTTTAGCCGAGTAACAGCAGCAGCCTCTGGCAAAATCAACACACCATCAGAAGTGTACTGGATTTGGAATGCTGGACTCAGCCTGGGAAGGCCCTTCCTGATGTGACCAAGCTATGCAGACATTGGGCCAGTCACCATTACTAAGCACATCGGCTGCTGGGGAAGAGGAGAGGAAGGCTGGCTGAAAGGGCAACGGCCTTGGACACCATGGAAGTGATACAAATTGCACAAGGAAAGGAGGGCAACACTCCCGCAGTTTATTGACTGGCATTTGGTGGACTTTTATGGACTTGAAGGATGTCATAGGCCACGATCCCTGGCCATACTAATATTTTGCTAGCCTTCAAAGCTGTGAGAAGAGTCCTCCTTGTTTTCACTGGAACAACGTAACACCAGTGAGTCTGGATGTTTTCACGTGCTCCGGGGCCCTGGATTGTCCATTCTCACGGGAGGTTCCCCATCGCTTAATCGAGCAGTTACAGAGGAGAATACGATTGTGCCCTGGACTGGTGCTATAGCCCCAGAGGAAGGAGTGGAAGGGGGTTCATCCCCCCTTCCCCAGGCCATCTCCCCATTCAGGTGCCATGTTTTCCAGAACTACCACCAGCCACAGGAAGGGAAACAGACCCCCATCCATAAAATAACAACTTTGGAAGCCTTTTAGAAGAAGAAAAGCGTGCTATGGGAGCCAATGCTTTGGTTGGCCCACAATGTGCCTTCCTCACTCTGGTCTAGCCCTCCTGGCCGTGTCCATGGACCGGGGTCCAGAGACACTCCTGCCCATGATCTTCCAAGGAACTCCAACTCGCAATGCCTCTGCTCTGAGCAGAGTGGCCCCGAGGATTCCCGGCCTGGAGCCAGGTGGCAGCCCCTCGCACCTCTTGGCCAGGAGCAGTTTCAGTGCTCTAACTGGCCAAAGCAGTGGCGGCTGGCTTGCTGGGGCTGCGCAGAAGGTGTGGGGAGAAAGCTGACCTCGGGGCATGTGGAAATCCACTAAGAGTCCTACGGGACTGCTAGTGTTGAGAGCGAGTTTAATAAATAAAACAGTCCCCGCTGAGTGCCACTCCCCCCCCCCCACCCCGCCACGTGAGTCAGTCGTAAACATTGTGGGTAAAGTTTCTGTGTAAACTTCATATATCCCACAAGAACAACCAAAGTTCAGATCATATGAACCTCCAGAAGGATGAGGTATGTTGAAGTGCTGTGCCTTAAAAGTTTGTGGACCAGCCTTAACTCTGTCTTTCCCCTTCCTCTTATCTATAGCTATATATCTAACACTGATCTGTGAAGAAAATGAAAACTTCATTTAATATGTAATTATTAAAGTACATTTAAATAACCCTGCTCTTAAATATTAATAATATATCCATTGCTGGTTATAATGTGTATCCATGTCTTGGCTTTAGTGACAAATTTTACCTGAATTTCATAAGGAAACACTGCCCCCCAGTGGTTATGCATTTCCATTGACAAACTGAATAAAAGACCTCTAATTCCAAAATCACTTAATGGTTAGTTAAAGAGCCTGCACTGTTGTTTTTATGCAGAGTAGCTGTGTGTGTGTGGTGTTGGAGGGGGCGGGGGTCTTCAACTTGAGGACCGCTTAACTCTTTCCTTTCTGGCTGTTTGTTCACTTGCTCCTTCCCACAGCTTTTCTCCCTGGGAGGGAAAAGGCACAGAGCAGAAATATACCTGAAAATATTTGGAGGAATGCTGCAGGTGTGCACTGGGGATCTGCACATGGTTGTGGGAGCTGTGTGCTTGCCCAAGCATGGCTCTCCTTGGTGCCACAGGACCAGTTAAGCAGCTGCGTGATGCTTTTGAAAACGCCTCGTTCTAGTGTTGTGCGTTGCATCAGGTCGAAGGATCCCAGGCCAGGTAAGTGACATTGCCATCCACTGATCTCTCTGCACCCCAGATTAAATTTTTCCAAAGTATACTTACCAAATGTATAAATCCAGCTGCTGTCAGCCATGTGCTAATAAATATCGAGCACAAATTCACCAACTTGATGGAATTACTGGTTAAAAAAAGGTGGGATGGGGAGAGAAACAAATAAGAGATTCTCAGAGTTTCCTTTGAGCTGAACATGGTCCTGCCCTTTCAGGGTCTGACTCTGATCTTCAAACTGTGGGCCCCATTCCTCAGCATTAAGGGAGTGTATTGGGCCAAGTGGGCTCACCATCCCACAGGGCCAGCACCACAGGGACTGCGCATCCATGCGCCCCAACTGGGAACGAACTCAGACATCTGAGAGAATCTGCACCGGTTCCAGCGCCCTCCCCTCCCACTGCACCTGGGTCTTTATGTGCCTGCCGATGAAGGACAACGGTTTACCCAGTGCCTAAGAGCTGGCACCACAACGCGTCCTCTCAGCTCTACTGTGCCCCAAACCGGACTTGCTCCCTCTGGCCATGTTTCTTCCAGGCTGTGGCCCAGAGGGGTGCAATCATTGGCCATGTGGAGTGGCCACATCCCCAAAACCATGGCGCGTTCTGGGGACTTTGTGCTTACGCAGCAAATATACCGGACATGCAGATCCAAAGGGACAGCAAATAAGGGTCCTGAGCCCTTTTCCCCTGAGGTGGAGGGCAGGGCACATTCCAATGGAGCAAAGCACAGGGATCCAAGGTTCAAGATGGATGCCAGGAAGTAGTTCCTGATGGTTAGCACCCCGAGGGCGTGGAATGGGCTTCCACGGGAAGTGGTCGAAGCCCCATTGGTGAGGGCATTCGAGGGCAGGCTGGACATGCACAGGGGAGGCATGTCATGAGCGGAGCTGGCTGGAGCCAGGGGTCAGACTAGATGATCCAGGAGACCCCTTCTGACTCGCTCTTTTTCTATGTTTCTAAGGGACCATCACCATCAGTAACCACCTAAAACCATGGGAGCCCTTTCACCATGCTTTGGTGAAATGAGGGGCCAGATAAAATGGTGCAAGGGCACGATGGATGCGGCTATCAGTGACCCAGCCCTATTCAAAGGGAAGATACAGCAATACTGTACACTGAATGTGTGAACCTGCCACATGTTTCAGACATTCATGTACTTCCCCATTGCAGAAGTATTTCTGATTCATGGAAAAAGCTCTTGAATGGGCAGCAACCTATCAGTCGCTATTTAGAAAACACGTCAGTGGTTCATTGAGCTATGGAGGCTGTCTTGCACGTATGAGATGCCTTTGTCTTTTTCATCAGAGCTCTAAATATAGATGGATTAATCACCAACATTTTCCTGCTCTTTAAGCTCTTCGAAGCATCTGTGCAGTCCCTAATTCTGACTGAGCCCATTCTAAGCCCTTGAAGGTTGACTGAAACCTCATTTATATCAGCAAACTGGGGGAAACAATCAATTTATGTGTTCACTTGACCCAGTTTAGTAAGTTAAACTTCAGATGGGGGGAGAAAGTCTGCCCCTGTAGAGCAAGTGTAGCTAAAAACAGTCCTGTGTGCTTGTTCAGACGTAGGTGTCTTCACTTCAAACTAAGCAATATTTTTTCCTAGGAATTCTGGATATTAGTGTAGTGTCACTGGTTCCTTGCCCATTTTCAGCTCCAGGAAATGACCCCTCCATATGCACGGCCCTAGCTGCATGAGAAACTGTGAGCCAGTGAGTCCTGCAGGTGGGGGTGGCGGACCCCAAATATCCAAAGGCCAACCAGGGCTCTTGCCAACTGGTTGTGCATTGGTTTTATCTCTGAAGGAACCACTATAGCAAACGTGCCTTCCAGTTGCAGATTAGAGCTGGTGTTTGGAGCATCAGGGTGCTATGACTGGCCCATGGAGAATGCAAGGATGAAACACTTTTGCTTCAAGTGTCCAAAAGCTTCATCCATTCTGTTCTCACAGCTTCTCCTCACTTTGACTTAATATATTGCAACGCTATTTGCTTATCCAACAACACCCTGGAGGCTTCTGAGTGATGCTTCTGCCTAATAAATCAAATCAGGCTGGTTTTATAAAACAAATAAACAATCACTGGCCTAACTCATCATTTAGAATTTTTTTTGGCCTTGTGTTGCAATCTGGACATTGTTGTTATAATTTTAAACTCCTGATGAAAGGGTAAACTTAGCTATATTATCTCCTCCCACTTGTCTTGCTTGATCAAATTGGCATGGGATGGGGAAAGGAGAAGGGGAAACAGCAGGCTTCCGCATTTTCCTCTTCATCAGGAAATGTAAAAGCATAACAACAATTGCCAGGTTGTAACTTGGCAACCTAGTGCACAGTGATGACAATGACCACAAATACAGAAGAAACAAAAGTACGTCCTTCGCTTAAAACATTGGCAATTTGCCTGCTCAAAAATGCAAAGGAAAATAAGTTTGTCAGAACTAATTAGAGAGAATTTGGTGCCAAAGGTTGGTTGGTTGGTTGGTTTTTTAATGAATGCAACACACACATCATGGAAACCTTTGAGGCTGTAGGCTTCTACTACGCTATTGGTCTACTGAATGAACAAAATTATCCTTGTAAATGTGATGCTACATTTTGAAGGGTGCTGCTTTCCAGCTACACTTGCTTCTACTTGCCTTGCAATTTCAAACTGCATCAACTAATTAACCTATCAAGGAAACCCTATTAAGACTACAATGCTATGCACACTTAACTGAGAGTCAGCCCCTTCTGAGTAAACATGCAGAGGACTGTGCCACAAATCCCTGGATTTTCTATCAAGTGGGAAAAGGACAATTTGCAAAGCTGAGCCCGATTCCAGAAGCGCTGTGTTGGACAAGTCATTAACTAGTTATTACTTGGATTGCAACGCAGCAGAAGACAATCAAACAGATCTTTGCTCCTATTTGCAACTCAAACATAATCAAACAGAAGCCTAAATCTCGTCCTTTCAAGTGCCCAAGAAACTGTGAAATGAGATGCTATGCAAGGAAGCCAAAAATGCCCAAAACATGCATTATTATCTTACCTTGTTTTAAGGATATTCAGAAACTGCAAAATTTCTGAGAACTGTATCAGCCTAAGAGCTCGTAAAAATCTTAAACCTGTAATTCACAAGAAAAGAGGGAATTAGATTATTTTTATCTCTATATAACTTCCAAAGGCATCTGTGAAATCAGAATTGACTAACATGGTGAATAACAAATACCTCTGAAATGTTGTTCCATATTGAACATCTCCAAACCTTAGCCAGAGAAATGTATTTTCCTTCCAGTGAAGTAATGCTGCAGTTCAGTATATTATCTTAATTATAAAAGGTATGGAGGGGAGAGCTTTATTTCTGAGATATATTCCAGAACGCCCTCTCAAAGCTTCTTAAAAATGAGTGATTATGAACAAAGAGATCAGATAAACTGAATTTAAACAGAACCAGACAGTCTGTGTGTATGATTAGGGTGATAATTCTGCATGACGTCACGTCTTTTGCTGAAATGCTCTGCATTATCACAACGAACTCTTTAAGTTCTTATGGGTCACCAATAAACTGGGGCTCATTTAGTGAAGGTGAAGGTATAATAGCATTTGAATGACAGTGATATTTTCTACGAAGTCATATTTCTTCTTTTTCTATCGTTGTCATTGCGGTTGGGTTGCATGGGTAGCAACTCAATAGATGGCTACGTAGGATGGAGAAATGATGTAAAAGATTAAATGCTCAAATTAGTAAAGGAGACTTATGCTGACAGGAAACAATCTTGCTTTAAATCTCTCATGGGAGCAAAGGTACACTGGGTTTGATAAACATACAATGTATAAAGGAAGCAGAAAATTTCGGAGGATGAATTTGTCTTTGGTAAAGGTAACTACATAGTTAGGCACTCAATGGGCCTTTTGGATAACCCAATGACACAGTCTTATTTTAATATGCATCGTAATTTGTGGCAGAAGAAATTTACTGCAGTGGTTTGGAAATCAACATGGCCCTGAATGCAAAACTGAAGTATTACTAGGTAGTCAGTGAGTGCAGAAACACATACAAGGGTGCTTTGCTCTTCTTTGCTCTGCTTTGGGGGAGAGAGCAAATGAAAAAACGCAGGACGAGCAGTGAATTTCTGGAACACATGAAATATTGACATGCCTGCTACAAAGGGGGCAGTGGGGCCCACCAAGGAGAAGGCTGAAGGAACAGGCTTGCTCCAGACTCAAATAGCTTACATCAGCTCCCCAGCAGCCTGGGAAAATTAACACTGCAGGACAAGTGCACTGAGGTTAAGAAACTCTTTCTGCCGGCACTACACCCAGCCGCTCCAAAGCACCGCTCCTTCTGTTAAGCTATTCAATGTCCAGGTTCGAGGCTGCCATCTTTGTCTCCTAGCATGAGATGCAACAGCTTTGGAAGAATTCAGGAAGGAGGGCATGGACAGAAGCAAAAGAAGATTCATCATCTATCTGCTGCCTTCTGAGAACTGACCCACCGAGGGCTGAACGACGCGACACAGCAAGCCCGAATTCCAAGAATTCTCCGCTTCGTCTGTGGAGAAGCACACTGCAGGCCTTCGTGTTCTGAAACGCTGAGGAGTGGACCGCCTTCACAAGCTGCTCTGGAGCCCCCAAGAGGATTTTCCTTGCACCATCCCAGCTGGATCAAAGGGCTTGGGCAGCTGGATCAAAGGACAACCACCTCACTAGGATCCTGCATCCCAAAGCTAGAAGCCAGGAAGATATTCCCATTTTCCCACCTAAAGTCATGCTTCAAAATGCATCTAACTTGTTCAGGAATAATTTATTTCACTACAATGAATGTTATTATTTAATTGTCTGGGTGGAAAGGATTCTGGTAAGAAATCCTCACACTTTGATTAAAAACTGAATGTGCTCAGGACATGCACACTGGCTATTTAATATTTTTTTAAAAATGCAGTTTACTGCTATTGTGTGGGTTTATACAATCCCAATGACTGCCATGTAAGTGAACATGACTTATGAAGAGAAGGTGAATATTACTGTGATAAAAGAAACAGCTGAAATGATCCACAGAAATCTAAATATGGACTCCTATAAAAATGAAGGGGCTGTTCCCAGGGACACGGGAGAATGTTCACACTTCTACGCAAGCTGAAATGTTGTTATCCTTTGAAACTTACACTTCTCTGAATTTAGCAATGGAGTTCTCCAGTCCAAAAATGTCCATAACAGGAAAACATGCATAAAACCTGTATCAATTTGTTAGAATATTATGTAAAAGGTATTGTGTATTAGGGAAACTCTCCTGCAAAAATGTACATACTGGGCAAACATGCATACGAAAATGTGTGTATTAGGAGAAATACACATAAAATGCTTTGCAATTTTCATGTGGACATCTTTTCTTTAAACAGAACCAAATGAACATCAGACTGGAAAACTGTCTGAAATTGGGAGAAACCCAGACCAGCAGATTCCTCCATCCATAGCTGCCCCCCGTTCACCATCCTATGCACCAGTGTTGCATTTGCTGCTGTGCAAGTTGAGGGAAAGCCCAAGGGGCACGAGAGGAGCCCTGTTGCAATGTGCGTTAATGTCATGCTTGCACAACTCACAATTGCCACACTTTGGTAGAAAGGGAAGGCTAGCATGGACGTGGAGAAAGACCTCTGCAGATGGATGTCGAAGCCAGTGAGGTGTAGTCAAACATGACGCATACTCAAGAAACAAGAGGGTCCCTAGGATTTTTCTGGCATTTTCTGGAAAGCAAGCTTTGTAACTTAGGTCATGGGAACACTGGCATATTTCGAAGAAGAGAGCTGTGATGCTTTCCCCTTGCCTCAGTACAATCCACTCTACTAGAATTGAGTTTCTGATAGGATTAGTCAACACAACAGGAGGCAAAAGAGCTTGGCTCTGAATCTCAAAGCAAAGCAGCCCTTGGACAGAATGATTAAAATATGAGAGAGAAAAAAACAACAACAGGGAAATTCCTAGAAATAAAACAGATTTTTGTGACTCTGTGCCTTAAAGACTTGTTTCTCAAGGCCTCCATGTAGAAGGTGCAATGAAACAACATGGCGAAAGATTCATCATCGGATGTCCCACATTTTTAAATAAAGCAGGTTAACTCTTTCCCTCCCCTCGTTGGCGGCAGATCAGTGTGTGAGGAGCAACATTGGCATGTTAAAGCGCTCTCCAGATGAGCAATGCTTAATAACTAGTACTGAATATCAATAAGGAAGCAATCTGGTTGCTTAAGCAAGTAGTTATTTATCTCCAAAGCAGAGAAGAGTACCTTGTTTATTTATTGGATTTTTATCCCACCACATTAGTCCTTCAGCCTATCTAATGAGACCAAGAGTAGGGTGTCTTTGGATGCTGAGAAGTGCATTGGGAAAATTTCTTTTGGGTTTTACCCTATTGCAGATTCTTTGGAGAGCATGCGGAACTGGCTGCCTTTGCCATGCCTCACTCAGCTGATCCCCACCCCTTACGCCTTTACTGGAACACCGCTGCTGCCTTCAGGAAAGGAAGGGAATTGCAACAAGATTCCTGCCTGCCAGGTGAGGGCATAGTAGTGCACTCAAAACCAGTACCAGTTTCCCTTTCAAGCCAAGCGAATGATTTCTTTATTCATTAGATTTATATCCTGCTTTTTTTCTTATGAACTCAAAGAGGCTTACAACATTCTCTTCCTGCTGTTCTGTACAAGGACCCTGTGAAGTAGGTTGGGCCGAGAGTCTGTGACTGCCATGGCCGAGCTGGGACTAGAACCCGGATCACCTGAGTCCCAGTTCTGCACTCTTAATCACTACACCACACTGGCTCTCAGTTCCAATCCCTCTGCAAGTGGAAGACCAAGAAAAGGCACGAGAGAACTATGCAATTTGTGAAGGAAAAAAGTTGGATCCTGGAGAGCAGAATGTAACACTTAGAAATGACTCAGATGACAAAAGAATAGTGAAAGGAGAAACCATGCAGTGTACAAGGCTCCTCTGCTTTGAATGAGAAATAAAATATTGCTTCCATGCAATCAGAACCAACGTCACTCAACAAAAAAGGGAGCTTTTGCCCAGCTTTATGTTAAAGGCATAACTAGAAGCAGCATGTTTTTCTTTTCCTTTTTACTCAAAAGTAAGTGTAGGAGACTGATCCATGTGGAGCCTCTGGCATGAGGGGCAGGGGGGTTGACTCTTGACCCAGCTGCATTCCTGATCCAGATTAAAGTAGAGTTTACACTGCTGGAATATGATCCATTTCTTAAAGGGTTCATATTGGGGCTATGGAAATTGCCGGCATGGAGATCTAATCCAGATCACAAGAGGGGCCAGGATTAAAGTTCTCTGACTCCAAATTAGTTTCCTAACCTGGATCCAGTTCCCTATTCTTTTTTTTTTAAATCAAAAAAGGCATGGTTGCTAGCTATCTCCTTGACATGTGCCTTGACTCTCAGGCATCCAAAGGTTGGCAAGATCATGAAGTATAACAGGTTTTCAGTGTAATAGAAACTGAGTGGGATGCTGTGACGTGGTGTCCTGCAACAGCAGGGGGTTGCACCTGATGGCCTTCATGGCCCCTTCCAATTCTACTATTCTATGATTCCATGTGCACCTTGGTAGGAAAAGGGAGAAAACGTGAAGCATGTCATGTTCTGGACTTCCTGGTCATGCACAGAAGAAATGCTGCTGAGACACACAGAGGTGTCAGACCAGATACAGAAATCTACTTCAGGCATGGACTGCTATTGTCTCCCTTTCTGCAAAAGATCCGTGAAGCCAGACAAATTGGAGTATCTGTGCAGTCTCTTGATGGCTGGTGATGAGAGGTGTCTACCTGGAAGCTCTCAGTGTGGGATGAAGGAAAGCAGGAAAGAGGGAGCAGCAGCAGCAATGAAAAGAAGCGAGTGGAGGAGAAAAGGATGAAGGGGTGGCAGAGGGAAGAGGTTTGGTGAGCCAAAGAGCCGCTGCAGGACACCAGGCCAAGATGTGCATTCACTTTTCCATGTCAACACAGGTGCCAGACCATTGGTCTAGCTATCCTGGTCCTGCCAATGTAAGGTGACCACGGCTCTCTAGAACTACCTGGAGATGCCTGACTTTCTGAAGGCAGCCCTATGACCACGCTCAATGCTCAACGT